TCTAAAACAATGAGAAATAATAAAATAACATAAAACTTTACAGCCGACTCCTGATTACGGAGTTAATATCAAACAATAACGATAAACTAAATAATTAATATCAAATAAAAGATATAAAATATAATGGCGCTCTTTAATGCCTTATTCCTCCACGGTTGGCAATGGCGGCGTGACCGGCTCGAACCTGGGGCTTTCCGGTTCGACCTCTTCTTCGGCCGCCACTTCCGGAACCGCCCATTCTCCGCTCCGGCGCCTCTCCTTTTCCACCATCCATTGGTGGACTATGTCGAGCGCCCGCTCCGCCACGGACGTCCTCCGGTCTCCTTCCTCCGCGACAATCGTTGTATCCGTCTGCGAAATTGCAGGCGGATACAGTAGGACGTAGAATATGAAAATTTTGATATTTTTCCACGTGCAGCCAATCACAAAAGAGGTTACTCGCCATTCCTATTTTTCCATATCCAATCATATCTTCCCAATTTCTTACATCTACGTCTCTATGTAAACTCCGCCTTATGCATTTCATGTGCTCCGAGCTTAAGGCCGGGACGGCTGCTCTCATGTTTCTCTCTACTATGTCTATGGATGATATCGACCAATAGGCATTAGGCAATACAGCCGCCATTTTAACGTCAATCGGTGCGTGATGTTCGGCAAGTTTTGATGATTGTGTGAATAACAAATCTCGGAGCAATCTCATATTCGGGAGGACGTGAGTCATGGCGGAGTATTTAGCATCTATCTTCGGTACCGAGAAGGACAAGTAAGGAAAACTCGTTTCGCCGTGTTGTAAATAAAGCTGAGAGGCGTGTAACTTTTATTCTAACCTAACCTAACGTTTTCCTTTCTTCTCTTTACAGAGTAAATTGCTCCTTTTACTTTAAAATCGGCGCCTGCCGTCACGGCGACCGATGCTCACGTATCCACAACAAACCTACATTTAGTCAGGTATGTATTATAGCGATTTCGGCTGAGATGTACCGATTGCACATTTCGGGTGTTGTGTGTTCGGCTGGTCGAATGATGCAGTCTCTCGCCAGTAAAGCGGCGTCTACAATGAGACTTAAAGACTTAAGATTTAAGAAAATTGACCAATTACAATCGATTATCAAGAGACACGGCAGTCTTGGTCAAGTATTTAACTACTAAAAAAATTGTATACATATTAATTATATGTATATATATTTCTCCTCGTGTGAAATGAATAAACGACTATGATTGATCAATTTTCTTAAAT